TGAATCGGAGTTGGTTATTTCCCTGAAAAAACACTTCAGTGGCCCCTTATTACACCACACCCAACTCCTAAGCATGGCATCTAAGGACTTTCTTGATCCGGCCACTCCTTCCTAATCCATTCTCATCTTTCACCAAAGCAAATCAAAACAAAGCAAAAAAACAAACTCGTTGCCATTGAGTCGATTCTGACTCATAGCAACCCCATGTGTTACAGAGTAGAACTGCCCCATAAGGTTTTCTTGGCTGTAATCTTTATGGAAGCAGATCGCCAGGCCTTTCTTTTGTGGCATTGCTGGGTAGGTTCAAACTTCCAGCCTTTAGGTTGTAGTGGAGTGCAAACCATTTGTGCCACCCAGGGACTACCCTCAAATTCCACCCTCTTGAGGTTCCCATAACTCTGTGGGGCTGTAGTAGTTCCTATTTATTATTTCAAATCTACACATCACCTTGTCTTGGACATTTCTCCGGCCCTTCATGACTGGGCATCCCGCAACCCAACCATGACCCAACTATAGCTATTACCTCACTGTATTATAACGTCTATATCTGGAGGCAGAAACCATGGTGGCTTAGTGGTTAAGAGTTCGGCTGCTAACCATAAAGGTCAGCAGTTTGAATCCACCAGGGGCTCCTTGGAAACCCTATGGGGCAGTTCTACCCTGTCCTATAGGGTCGCTATGAGTCAGAATTGACTCAAGGGCAATGGGTTTGGTTTTTTGCATTATACCTGGTGGTGCAGTGGTAAGAGCTTGGCTGCTGACCAAAAGGTTGGCAGTTTGAATCCACCTTGGAAACCCTATGGGGCAGTTCTACTCTGTCCTATAGGGTTGTTATGAGTCGGAATTGACTCAATGGCAACTTTTTTTGTTTGTTTACACTAGAAGTCAGTAGGGAGTAGCAGTTAAGAGTAGGGGCTCTAGAGTCCAGCTGCTTGGGTTCTGGTGTCACACCCAACACCAGCTCTGTAATTTCTCTGAGCCTCAATTTGCTTCTCTTTAAATGGAGATAATAATGCTACCTCATAAGGTTGTTGTAAGGATTAAAGTTGTTTTAAGGATTAAAGTATCTTTAAGTTGTCTGGATTCCACATTTAGACTGTAAGTTCTTTGAAGACAGAAATCAATCCTTGGTACATAGCTTGCAGTTCACACTCAATAAATGTTTGAGTGGGTTAAGAAGCCTGGGGACTAAACTGCTCTAGGCCACAGTTTCCTCATTTATTAAATGTGTGGGTTGCACTTCACATCTTTAAAGTCTATATTACTCTGACATTCATTCATTCAGCAGGTATTTGTTGAAAACCTATTATGTGCCCAACACTGGGCTAGGCAGTGGGGAAGGGACATGTCTGAGGAGTGAAGGAGGCAGCGTGAAGAGAGCACCAGCTTTGGTGCCAGACAGGCCTGGATTTGAATTCCTACTCTGTCACTAAAATTGCAAAATTTGGGCAAGCCACTTAACTTCTCTGAGCCTCAGTTTCCTTATAGGCAAAAGAGGTTGGGTATACTTATCCCAGAGTCCCTGAGTGGTGCAAAAGATTAACACGCTCCTCTGTTAACTGAAAGATTGGAGGTTCGAGTCCACCCAGAGGAGTCTCAAAGAAAAGCCTGCTGATCTACTTCTGAAAAATCAGCCACTGAAAACCCTATGGAGCATAATTTACTCTGACATACATGGGGTTGCCATGCTCGGAATCAACTCCACGGGCACTTGGGTATATACCTATCCCAAAGATCTATGATGAATATTAAAGGGATTGAGCTATGTAGTGTACGGATCACAAGCCAATAAAATGTTGGTAGACTTCCTCCTCATCGTCTCCTTAGCCGCCTTACAGGGAAGGAGATACACGTACATATAAATACCTTACGCAACAAGGCAGACAAGCCAGACTTTCCGCAGAGGCACACAATGAGAGTTAGAACTGAATTCCCAGCAGGGGATCCGGAAGAATTTTCAGAGGGAGTGTCCTTTGAAGGGTAGGGAACAACTGGACTCATGGAAATTCCAGGTTGGAGGAATGAAGGGAATTGTGAAGTGGCAAGGTGCTGAAAGGTCAAGGCTGAAGGATGAAGTTGGGTAGTACTTACTCGGCAAGATTGTAAGTGCAGGTGGTGAGCATCTTCCGCCCCTGGCCCGCCCCGACTCGGTCGCCTCGGGACTGCAGTTTCCCAGCCCCACCTCCCGCGAGGTACCCGGTGGGGCACAGCGGATGGCTGCTTGGCCACGGGAGGGCAGCAGCGGCCCTGCCTGACCCCACCCCGAGCGCCTCTCAACTTTCCCGACGCCAGTCCGCCCTTAGAGGCTGGAAGGCTGGGAAGAGACTGAGTCTCAGGGGCCTGTTCCGCCCCTCTCCTCCGCAGTCAAGGGATCTCCCCGCCACGCTCCTCCTACCCCGGGGCCGGAGCCCGGACCAGCGGCGCCAGCGACCCGCGGCGGCGGCCCTGGGCGGGAGCCGGGGGCGGGCCAAGCAAGGGGCCGCCCCCGGCCAGCCCCTCCCCCTGCCGTCCTGCCCGCCCCTCCCCGGCGGCGCTGAGGAGGCGGAGGCCGGGCCCCTCGGGTCAGTTTCTGCCTCGGGCACCGGCCTCGCAGCTGGAGGCGGCGGAGCGGAAGGTACCCTGGGCCAGGGGCTGGGGGTGGTGGGCGTCCTGGAACTCATATCCGGGAGAGCGCTTTCCCCCTCCTCCGTTCGGCCACCGGCCGGGGAGGGGGCTTTGGCCCGATCGCGGGCCGCCGTCCCTCCCGTTGGACGCGGCGTCCGGGCTGTGCGGGGCCCGACCCAATGGGCCCTTCCCTGGGCTGCAGAGTGAGGTCCCCGAGAACTGCCGGGCAGGGGCTCTCGCATCCCGGTGTCCGAGCCGGAGCCCCTTCCCGTCTCCTCCCAGCCTCCCGGAACCTGCCCCCGCCGGGCGAGGGGCGAGAGGGCTATTTGGGTCGCCGCGAGAAAGCCCCAGCTAGACTCTCTAGGTCCCAGGCCGGGTGGCCAGAGATGGACCTGGGGTGGAGTGGGGCGAGGGTCCGAGTCCGGGTAGGAGTGGAATTCCCCAGGCCTGGACGGCAGAATGGCGGGAATAGGGGCGGGGTGTGACCGGTGGGGGTGCCGCCACCCTAGACGGTTCCTGAAGCCTGTTTGGGGTAGGGGTATAGGGAAGAACCTAGCTCCTTTTTTTCTTTTTGTAAAAGAATCTCCTCCCTCCCTACCCTCCCTCATACTCCCGACCAGGATTATCCTGGGGGTTTGGACTCCGATACCGGAGGCTGAATCCTGCCCTCTCTTCTAGTTTTAAGGTTGAGGACGATGTATCTCCAGAACATTGATTGCTTCCACAGACCCCAGGGGTGGCCGGCCAGGGGTACAGCGGGCCCCTCTAGATTATCTGGGAAATCAAGAGAATGATAGAGGAGAGGGCGTGTGTGTATCCACAATGTCTTCTCTCAGGGAAGGCCCCACAAGTTCCAGGCAACATTCTAGCCCCTTTGTGGGGTTTGGTTGCCCCTCTTGGGGTCAGTGGGACATTTTCCCTGGGGCTGCCTCTCACAGGGAGCTGTTGTCCCTGCCATCTTGGCGCTGGGCCTGGTGTCCTGGCGTGGCCTAGGCGGACTGCTGTTCTGGCCTAACCAGAGCATGAAGGAAAAGTCTTTCTTCTAATTGAGCCAGGAGCTCCAGGTCACTTGATGCATGCCCCTACCCCAGGGTTCCGGCCTCCGCCTCCCACAATCTGTCCCACCTAAACTGTCCTCCTGGGGGAGGGCAGGAGCATACTCATGTGTGAGCAACTGGTATTCACCCCAGTGGTGATTGCCTTCCATCAACACTGCCCACCCCAGATTGGGGCTGCCCCAGACCATCTTCACACAGCTGGATCAGTTGGACTAATGGGAGTGGGTGTCGGGGAGTTGGAAGAAAACTTAGTGCCAGTTACCTGGGTAGAATTCCCAGGGAACCCCCTTTTTGTAGGATGGTTTCCATTTTAAGGGGGTTCTGCTGGCAGGGTGAATGCCTTCTTGCCTGTCTTCTGGGGTATCTGGGAAGGGAGAGTCCCTTTTGTGGTGAGAGAGTAGCTATGTACACTCAACTCCTATAAATTCCCTCTGACTCATATCCACTTACCCTCATCCCAGTTTTGTGAATGTATGTGTGGAAGAGAGGGAGGAGCCACCCAGAATCCCACTGTTGAGGAGAGCTAAGCTGGAGCTGGAGTATTTTCTTGCTAAAAGGCAGACCAAAGCAGGGGTGTGAGGTGGTGGTGGTATGTGGGGAGCAGGAATTCAGCCCAGTTTTGACGGGATGTGGGACTGAGAGAAAAAGCCAGGTTTAGGGCACAGATCAGGTTTCTGTCCCCTTCTTTCGTAACTGTTCCCTGCCTGATTGGTGCTGGGTCTGGCCCTTATTTGTCTCCTTTTGGGGCTCCTCCCAGCCCGGGCTCTAGCCCCCTCCCCCTTTCCAACAGCCTTGACTTCATCTCAGCTCCAGAGCCCACCCTCTCTTCCTCCCAGGCTGCAGCCTTGGAACTTCAGCCGACTGGAGGTCAGCTCCTCTTTCCAGGGAAGGAGCAAGTGAGGTTCAGCTTGGGCAGGGGAGCTGGGAAGGTGTGATGAGCTGTGTAGATGCACGTTAATGTGTGTTGGGGACAGGACACACGGAAAGCCCTGGAAGCTGACTCCTTGCCCTGAGTCACAGGGAGGGGTGGGCAGGGCCTTTGGGTGAGCCAACAGAGGGGAGGAAGGGGCTGTTCCAGGGAGTGGGTGGAGGTGATTCCCTAGTGGATTATTCTCAGTCGCTCTGCTGTGGTGGATGTGTGGCTCCCTACAGTGTGGTCATTGTCCCCTGCCTGGGGCTGAGTGACCCAGTGTTACTCCCAGGCTCAGGAGGAAGGGGGGAGGAAGGCTGCCTGAATGTGGGCCGTGGGCACTGCCAAGACTAAGCCTCCTTTGTGTCACTCGGGGCTTTGGGGACCAGGCTGGGGTGGGCCAGGGAAGCCGGCTGGCTGCTGCCACTGTCCTGTCTGGGTTTCCCTGCATCTGCTCTCGTCCTACCTCTGGGGTGATATGTACAAAAGGCAGACATTGGAGTCACACAGCCCACTTTGAATCCTGTCCCTGTGCTTATGCGCCTTGACTCTGAACGTATGTCTTAACCCCACTGAGCCTTAGTTTCCAAGTTTGTTGAAATGGGAAGTATACCATTCATCTTCCAAGCTTCTGAGGACTGAAGGAACTAATTTTTGCCAAAATGCCCAACATAGTGCCTGACACTTAGATGCTGGATAAATATTCTTTCCCTTAGCCACCCACCACATAGTGGCTGGTCCTACTAGCCTGTGGTCTTGGGGAGGGCTCCTGGTCTGTGACTGGGCAGTCATGCTGACTGAATCTGGTCTAGACTGGACTGTAGTGATTATTAAAGTATCAAAATCCTAGGAACAAATGAAGTCTGAAACCCTGATATGTAAAACAGATAAAAGCCAGCTCCTCTGGACTTGTCCCTGATCTCTGAGCACCTCTCTAGGCATCCAGGGTCCCAGTTGGTGAATGGATTAGACCAGAACTCATGTTTTCTGGCTCCTAAGTGGGTTCTTCTTCCACCTCCCATTTCTGTATTCCAACCCATCGAGGGAGACCTGTCCCTGACCCTGACATTAGGAATTTAAGCTCTGTTGCCTGAATGATGGGTTCTTGACAAGAACATGCCTGAGCAAGCCCCTTTCCCTCCCCTCCCTTCCTTTGCTGCATGCCTGTTTCCAGGGAAGTGTTTCTGGACTTGTTGGCTTTTCCCAAGATCCCTACTGCTTCTTCCCCGCCGGCCCCAGCCATGGCTGCAATCCGAAAGAAGCTGGTGATTGTGGGGGATGGTGCCTGTGGTAAGACCTGCCTCCTCATCGTCTTCAGCAAGGATCAGTTCCCAGAGGTCTACGTCCCTACCGTCTTTGAAAACTACATTGCAGACATTGAAGTGGATGGCAAGCAGGTAAAGGCGAAGGGCCCCGCCTCATCTCACCTTGGCACTCGTTCCCCTGGTTGCTTTTGGACCTAGTATATCCTTCCTCACCACCCACACACTTCCTTGCTCCATTCTCCCAGCTGGAGCCAGTAAAAGTTAGGAAGTGAAACTAGTCTTAAAAAACCTATGTACAAAAATTTAAAAGAAAAGGGGGGGGGGATGGGTGGAAATGCTGATGCTCTAACCCATAGATCAGTAATAAAAATAATAATAGCAAAAAAAAAAAAGAAAACAAAAACCAAAAAAAAAAAAAAACCTATGTACACCTCCTGATTCTCCCACATACTTGCTCTGTAATCTGGACTAAGATCCTTAGTCTCTGGGTTTAAACTTCCCCAACTGCAAAATGGGGATGATGGTAAGACTACTCTCAAAGGGTTGTTGTGAGGATTAAATAAAATAATGGTGCTCACAGTGACAACTTATAAACTGTTGCCTGACCCCTTCACAAAGGTCAAATACAGTTGTCTTATGATTTTAGAAAAATTCACCTAGCTTATGGTATGTGGCAGTAGTCAGCACAATCCCTGCTATGTAGCAGGTGCTCAAGGGATAGCTGTTCAGTGAGCCTAAATGATCAGTGGTTTCAGAGAGGACCTCTGGGTAGCAGGGTTGTTAAGTTGTGACTAGAGCCCTTGGGCTAGCTACTCACTGTCTGTGTGTCAGGTGGAGCTGGCTCTGTGGGACACAGCCGGGCAGGAGGACTACGATCGCCTGCGGCCTCTCTCCTACCCAGATACTGATGTTATCCTCATGTGCTTCTCCATTGACAGCCCCGACAGCCTGGGTGAGGTGGGGGTTAGGGCACTGCAGGTAGGGGATTGAGAATAGCTTGGAATCACCAGAAGTGGTGCTTGCCCTGGCCTGTCTTCAGCCATCTTCAGAGGCCATCTTCAGAGGGGGGATGGTGGTGCTGGGGGCTCTGTTAGCCTTTCACTGGGGTAACTCTGGCCCTTGGGAGGGCTCAGGTGAAGGTGCACTGTGAGGGGAAGGGGCTTTGAGCTATGAAAGGGACCTTCATGCTGAATAGACTGCTGTGGGGAGACAAGGCCCCAGGAGGGCACTTTCTAGCCCAGGTAGAGCTACCGACACTTGCTGGGACATGTCTGTGCAGAAAACATTCCTGAGAAGTGGACCCCAGAGGTGAAGCACTTCTGTCCCAACGTGCCCATCATCCTAGTGGGGAATAAAAAGGACCTGAGGCAAGATGAGCATACCAGGAGAGAACTGGCCAAGATGAAACAGGTGGGTGGGGTTGCCAAGCTGGAGCCCTTAGAACGGTGCCCTCTGGGAGACTGCAGGGGGGCGGGGAGGGAGCCTTCTCTCCAGCTGACTGTCCTGTGCTGGAGGCAACTGTGGTGGCCATACTCCCAAACATCTGTTCCCTGGTGAGGGAGAGATGGAAGCATCCCTCAGAGTATCTGATCCAGTTTTCAACGAAACTGTCAAGAGAATGAAGTGACTTATCTAAGGTCACTTGGCATGTTCATTTATTCCAGTTTGTCCATTCTGTCCTAGAACAGGGGCTATTGAGAATAAGAAAATCCGCCCTCAGGGAGACAGTTCTTACAATAGATGTATCACTTGGAGTATACAGGTGGTGCCCTAGGAGAACACCTGGGGGAGAGGCATGGACTGCCATGAATGCAGGACAGAGGACTTAAGTGGCTGGAAGGAAGGCCCAGAAGGGTGAGGGAACTAGCTTGTTTGGGGGCCTGGTAAGTAGCTTTCTATAGCCAGAAGACTAGTTTATTGGTGAAGGCTGCCAGGCTAAGTAATGTGGGTTATCCGGTAAGGATAATTATGGCAAGGATTTAAACTATAGTTGTCTCTGCATGTTAGAAAACTCACTCTGGCAGCCATCAAAATGGTTTGGAGGAAAGTGAGAATGGAGGCAGGGAGGTCAGTTAGGTGGTGGATGCCCATTCAAGCAAAAGAAGGGTGTGAGGTTATGTAGGGCTGGACAGGAGGGGAGGGAATAGACAAGGGAACTTTGAACCTAAACATAAACATCTTGGATCCCTGGTTCAGGAGCTTCCCAAGGTGGCTGGAGCCTGTGTCTTGTGGGGTCAGAGCTGTAGGATATATTTGTTCTGTTACACACTTACAGGTGAGGTAGTAAGAGGCGCACCTAGTCCCCAGCTTCCTTTGACCTCTCAATTTCTGTCTTCCCAGGAGCCTGTTCGGTCTGAGGAAGGCCGGGATATGGCCAATCGGATCAGTGCCTTTGGCTACCTCGAGTGCTCAGCCAAGACAAAGGAGGGTGTGCGGGAGGTATTCGAGATGGCCACTCGTGCCGGCCTCCAGGTCCGCAAAAATAAGCGTCGGAGGGGCTGTCCCATTCTCTGAGATCCCCAAAGCCTCCCTCCTCACCCCCTCCCCTCACAGGGATGTAGAAACTGTCCCCCTCCCAGCTCCACCCTCATAGGACTCCATGCTGAAGGTGCCCTTTTTCAGTTCCTTCCAGCCCGGGACTGCATTGAGCTTCCCCAGCCCTAGTGGTGTGGTGGTAGGCCCCCCTCCCAGTCCTCTGGGAACCTAGGCCGGTATCCTGCCCTTCCAGAGTCCCCGCTGCCTTAGGGTGGGGCTCCTGTTCCCTTTGGGCTTCCCCAGAGGATCTGTCACACACCAGCACTTTATACACTTCCGGCTCACAGGAGAACGTCTCGGGCAGGGGACTCGGAGGATGTAACCAGAGTCCACCAGAGTCGCTTGCTTCGGGCAGGGGCCTTGTCTCTGACTATTCTTTGTGGGGGGCATAAATAAAGGACACAGGCTCCAACGTGTGTGGCAGCTTCCTGTCTTTCCTGGTCCGTGTCTTAGCTGCCAGCTTGGAGTCCCATCTCTTCGTTTCAAGTTGCCTGCCAGGCTGGCCCGTCTGCAAAGGCAGGACTCCTAGGCAGGCAAGCGGGCCAGCAGGGTGGAGACTTGGATAAAGGATGAGGTCATGCCTGGCTCTGGGCCTGAGAGGCGGGTGAGGGGAGTGGTCTACATGTAGCTGGGGCTAAACTTAGAAACATGTGGGTGGCTTCCCTGCCACCTCCCACTGGGTTTCCTCCCCTGTTCTTGCTGGGAGGGGGTGTGGCCATGGGCTGGGTGTCAGTCCCACCCTCCCCAGCAGGTCAGCTTGGTTGCACTCAGGAAGCTGGGGCCCAGCTGAGGAGACATGGAGGCTTTTGCATAGAACAAGATTTTTTTGTTTTCAGAGTTTTTCTTCCTCCCCCTTCCCCCAATTGTTAGCAGCTTGATGTGTCATTCTCCCCAGCAGGGGAAGGGGTGGAATGGCTTGGGTTGTAAACTCCCTCCCCCAGCCTCCTGTCCCTTGGGGGGCACCTCTTGGCTGGGTTCTGGTTCAGGCAGGGTTTTGGTTGTGGGTCAGGCGGTTAAGGCTTGGCTGGTGTGTGAAGGCCCGTGGCTGTGTCTTCAGAGCTCGTTCCTCCAGGCCGGCTCCACTTGCAGGGGTAGGCCCCCTTCACCCTCCCGCTCCGAGGGGAGGTAGTCGTGACACTGAGGCCCTAGAAAGAAAGGAAGTGGGCTCTGTCTTCCTTACCTCCCCTTCCAACCCTATCCCCTACCTGGCCCACCCTTGGCCCAACCATACCTGAGGTAGAGGGGCTGAGCTTGCTCAGACCTTGCAGTAAGTTCTGTCCCTGCTGCAGATCCAGTTTGGCAGGGAAGGGGCATCCGGTATATCCCCCGTTTTCTTTACAGAACTCCAGGAATCTGTGGGGCAGGGACCTGTCTCTGTCTGTCTGTCTCTGAGAGAGACACACATGCACGTGCGCGTGTACACACACACAAAGCTGTGCAGGCTTGGCTGGGGAGCATTGGCAAAGGCTGGAGGCTAAGCCTTAGTGTCCCCCCACCCCCCACAAGCCTGTAAGAGCTGTGTGCCTTTAAGCAAGTTGCCTGTGGTATGCAAAATCTAGTCAATTTCGATTCATAGGACCCTATAGGACAGAGCAGAACTGCCCCATAGGCTTTCCTAGGTTGTAATCTTTATAGAAGCAGACTGCCATGTCTTTCTCCCACAGAGCTGCTGATAGGTTCAAACCACTGACCTTTTGGTTAGCAGCCGAGCGCTTGACCACTGTGCCACCAGGGCTCTTTACTAAATCAAAACCAAACCCGTTGCCACTGAGTCGATTCCGACTCATAGCGACCCTATAGGACAGAGTAGAATTGCCCCATAAAGTTTCCTAGGCTGTAGCCTCTCTGAATTGTCAGTTAACTTATAAATAAAGCAGGGGTATTGTGCAGATGAATGGAAATGAGAATGAAGTGAGCCACAAAGAGGTGCTTAGTAAAATACATCTGCCCTAGGTTGGGGGTTGTGGCCACCAAGGGGGATTATGGGGTGGGAATGCTCACGTTTTCCAGTCGGGGTCATGGCCCAGGAGAAGGGGGTTGCCCACTATGATGAGCAAAGCCTTGGCCCGGGTCACAGCCACGTTGAACCTCTGGAAGGAAAAAGTATTTGGATCATGGGAAGGCAAGGTCCTAAGGAAGGAAGATTTACTACCACCCACCAGCCCTCCAACCTTGGGGTTCTTAAGGAAACCCAGGTTAAAGTCCAGATCCAGCTGCACAAAGCTCTGGCTGCTTCGCACGGTGGAGATGAGGATGACGCTGCGTTCTTGGCCTTGGAACTCTTCCACGGAGCCTACCTGGAGGAGGAGAGGGAGGCAGAGGCAGTGCCTGAGACCAGGGGGTTCAGAAGTTAGCCAGAGGGACAGCCCCTGCCTTGGGGAGCCTGGACTCCAACGAGGGCATAGACAAGTCACCAGGCAATTGTAGGTAAGTGAAGTGAATGCCATGATGCCAGCCAGGACAGCTTACCCTGGCAAGGGCCAGGAGAAAAAAGAAAGGATGAATCCAGTTCAAGGAGCAAGGGCTGGAAAGTGTGCCAAGCCGAGAAAATACTTTGCAGAGAATGCAGTGCCTCAGAGCAGGGTCTTCAAACTTTCCTGAAGATAATCACCAAGTGCTTGTTAAAAATACACAACCCCGGGCCCTAGCCCAGACCTCCTGAATCAGAATTTCCAAGGGAGAGGCCTCTAAATCTTCAAGCAGTGCCTTTCCACCCTGGCTGCACATTAGAATCACCTGAGGAACTGTTTTAAAAAATACCAGAGCCCTGGCTGTGTCCCCGGATAGCTGTTTTAATTGGCTAGGTGAGGCCCTGGCCCCGGCAGTAGTGAAAGCTCTCCAGGTGACTCTTATCTGTAGCCAGGGTTGAGAACCACCACCTTAGAGAAAGAGTCATGCTACTGCCTGACCCAAAGGGTAGGAGGGACAGCGGGGACATCACATGCTGGGCCTGATGAGCCCTGGAGTATGAGCTTAGGGCAGCAGCTTCAAACCTGCCTGATTGTAAGAATCACCTGGGGTGCTTGTTAAAAATATAGGCTTCCTGGCCCCATCCGAGGCCTACAAGTTGGGGTGTCCAGGAGTGAGAGTCTTGGGGAGAGCCCCAGCTATGTCTTAAAGCAGCAGGGTGGACCAGGGACATGGGCTGGGCTGGAGCAGCAGGGCAAGAGTCTGAGGAGGTCTCTGGAAGACTGGAGAAGGTGGGGGTGCACAGATGGCAGACAGTAACTGAGGAATAGTGGTGAATGTGTCACCTTCAAGTCCTTGATGTCATCCAGTCCTCGAAGCTCCTTGTCAAGTTTGGTGATGCAATAACGGATTTTTTCCACCTGGAAGGAGGGGACAGGTGCCTTTCTCTCATGCAAATATCCCAATGCAATAGGGAGTCAGGCAGGAGGCCAGGAGCCAACCCTTCCCAGGGAGATGGGGGGAATAAGGGAGGGGAGGTTGACCGCTGTGCTCTTCCGATAGGGGCCAGGAGAGTACTGAGCTCCTGGAACCTCAGCCTACTGGTCTGGTTCTTGAAGAGGTATCACCTGCGGGGGCTAGGGTGTGTCCGACCCTTGCTGGGAACTGAGGGCCTGACCTGCTTCCGGTATGGGGAGATGACGCCCACGCTTCGGGGACTCAGGCGGGCTTTGCCCTTCTTAAAGGAGGGGGCCAGGAGCAGCTTCAAGTAGGAAGTCACTGTGGCAGCCTCTTCGGGGTTGAAGAAGGACGGGCTATTGCCCTCACGCTCGTCCTTGCCCATTACACCATGAAAGATGATGGGAAAGCCCTGAACATAGGGATCAGAGAAAAACTCAGCCAGACCTCCCTGCTTCCCTTGCCTTCCACCCCAAACCCTCCCAGGGGTCCGGAATCCCAGGCCAAGGTGACAGGAGGGAGGGGCCCATGGCTTCTACTCAGAGCCTCCTCCTGCCCTGTCCCTTCAGTAAGAGGGAAGCCAGAGTACAAGGAGAGGGAGCCCGAGCCCCCGCCCTGCTTGGCCTCACCTGCCGAGGCAGACCCTCCCAGCGGCAGAAGCGCTCTCGATCCACAACGTCAGCACAGGCCTGCAGCTCCCCTTCATAATACAGCCGGTTAGGAATGTCCAGGATGGTGGGGTGAGACCTGGGAGGCAGGAGGAGGAAGGAAGAGCAAAACTCAGGGCTGGATTACTTCTCCCTGCTCTCAGGAACCCCTGCTCTGCTGGCTCTGGGCCCACACACATTCTCCTATCCTCCTGCCCAGTGGATAGCAGGACATGTTCACCTACAGTGTCTGCTAAGTGCTTCTCAAGAGCCAGGCACAGTGAACCATAGAAAGAAGAACCAAATGTGGTTCTAGGGAGCATCTCATCCACAGATTTCATAGACCAGTCAAATTTTAAAAGCAAAATATTAGGGACCCATTCTCAGGTTTCAATTTTGCTAAGGAAGGGCATTAAAAAAAACAAGGATCATCTACTGTCGCCATTATTTCATGACATAATGTGTTAAACCCCAAATAATAGAATAATATAATAGCTAACATTTTCTGAGTTCTTAGTAACTGCCTGGAACTCACCTAAGTATGTCAGATGTATTAAGTCACTTACTAAAGGAAGAATAGCTCTTTAATTTGAACAACTAGATTTTTTAAAAACTTACTATATTGTCCCCATTTTTCCTTGGATTTCCTGGAAACTTCATCTGGGACAAGCACCAGACATATCTCAGCGTCTGGGAACCACTGACCATCTCCTAATATATAAATAAGCAAACTGGCCCAGAGACAGAAGCCATTTGCTAAAGTCACACAGCCAATGAGTAGCAGCGATGGGGCTAGAAAGGAGGCCTCCTACCTTCCAATTTACAGTCTTTCTTTCTGCATCACCTATCTCGAGCCTGGGTGGCGCAAGTGGTTTGCGATCAGCTGCCATCATAAAGGTCGGCAGTTAGAACCTACCCAGTAGCTCCACAAAAAAAAGGCCTGGCGACCTGCTTCTGTAGAGATTACAGCCAAGAAAACCCTATTACAGCAGTTCTACTCTGTAACACATGGGCTTGTCATGATTCAGAATCAACGGCAACGGGTTTCGTTTTTTGGATTCTGCATCACACACCTCAGCAAGATGACCCCTGGACCGAGCCTCCAGCTGAGGCAGCATGGAGGGCACAAAGGTATGGGGTGGCAGTGGGGGAGCAGGAATACCTATAGTTGCGTAGCAGCTTGGTTATGAACTGGGGGTTATAGCCACTGGAGCCCTTCTTGTATAGGCTGTTGTACGAGAGCAGCCGCTCCAGCAGCGAGTGCCCCAGCCCGTGCTTCTGGGTCAGCGGGGAGCGCAGCACAGGACCCAGCTGCCGAGGGTCTCCTGCCAGCACCAGCTGCCCTCCTGGATCGCCCGTTTCCTTGACTTCCATCAGCCCTGGGAGGTAGGGGTGATGTGGGGAGAAAAGTAAGTGGCAAGACCTCCCCGACCCTGTGCAGGATGGCATGCCTGCAGCCCACCCTGAGCACCTCACCTGCTATGGCCACCAGACTCTCGGGCTCCATGGAGTGGCCGGCCTCATCGATGAAGATGTGCGTGAAGTGATCGATGGGAAACTGGGCTGAGACCAACCTGGG